CACACACACACACACGCGCGCGCGCGCGCGCACACACACACACACAGTAATAAACTTTGATGAACACACACTGCAAAACATGAAATATGAGTACAGTAAATTACTGATAGAAATGCTACTTTATCTTCACAAGTATTGTTTCACTTCTCAGAGAAACCGTAATCACAAGTAAAAAAATAAAAATTTAAACCATATTATCACAAGAATAAATTTGATTAATAACCAATGTAGCTATGTGAGATAGTAAAAAAAATCAACAATTATGTAGTATATCACAATACAAGTAACACAGACAATATCGAACAAATCTTATCGTTATCTTACCATTATCAATAGTCATAATATACCAGAGGAACTATGCGCAAGAGGAATACATAAATATGACCTTTTATTTTTAGGAATAAGGACACATTTCATTATTGCATCATTCATCTTCCAAGATCTAACTGTTTCATCCAATTGTAAAACAAGAAGAATGCCAATCAAGGATGAGTCCATTGGGTATTGATAATAATTATTATGTGTCTGAAATCGCTGTCCACGTAGAATCACTACATTGTCTTCAGAATAAACAATATTTCGCAACAAAACCACTGATCCGTCTTCAGTTTTAAAGCAATGATCAGGAGCAATACATCTCAATGTAAACTTATTGCTTGTAAGCATTTTATAGCACATCCCTTGAACAGTTTCATTGGGATTAATATGATTTCCTGTCAACTGTATACCCTCAATAATATTCTTCGACTCTGATAGTCGCCCATTCGTTTCAGCATCCCTTTTTGCTAACTGTTGCAAAGGATGATATCCTGATCTTAATGATTGCTTAATTGTCTTCAGATAGTTTTCATATGGAAAAGCACTAAATGAGTCCAAGGATCCATGCTCATCGCATTCATCAACTAGATGAGTAAGTCCATGCACATTAGACACAACAAAGTCACGGCTGAAGATATGACTACTAGATTGCACGAATAAGTTCAAAAATACTCTAGCAGCATTTCTCATTGCAATATTCTGCACAAGTAAAGGAGAAGCTAAGATGTAAATGCTACAGTGGAAAAGCAAGAAAGTGCAATATATTCTGTTAGGAGTATGATCCTTCATTACTTTAATACCATCATATAGTAAAAATCTTCTCAATTCTGTAGCCTTAAGATGAGAAACCTTCTTAAATTTATAAGGCTTTTGATTGAATTCTCTGGGAATAAACTGACCAATCCATGCTGAAGTATTTTTAAAAGCTTTTATGTTTTCATCCATTAATTTACCTCGATTTCTTATTTCCAGTAATCGCATCAAAAACCTCTTCATCACACCAATGCACACAAGATGAAGATAGTCAAGCCTGAATTGGGATACCATTCCAATATTAAGTCGCTCTTCTAATGGTGATAATCCTTGATGATGTTCAGGATTTCTTCTGTCAATAAATGATTGATCCGTACGCTTCTGTCCATTATTCAAATAAACCATCCTATTATGGTACCATTCACCTTCAATCTCACACTTCTCACAGGAGAACAATCCATTATGTCCAATAATGCATTTTACAAACGATCTTGCCGGAGCATCACAAATAAAGTTATATATAGACACATCATAAATATGATCATTAAATTGGAAACCGTTTAAGGAAAGTTCCTCCATCTCATTAATAAATTCCTGTAAAAATTGTTCTAGCGTTGAGGGCTTTGACTCTATACCAAAATAAACACTAATAATAAAAGGCTCACAAGTCTTGTCAGCCAAAGATCCTAGAATGGGCCAAAAATTCAACTTTCCACATTTATCCAAAGGCAATCCATCTATGTTAATATTCAGTCGTATTCGTCCATGAGTATCTAAATATTCTTGAGTCAAAAAAATATCGAGATTTCTTTTTATTCCCTTGTGCCACATGTGACCATTATCAATCTCAAACACTGTCGTAGTCTTAGGTGTATTCAGTAAGGATACATATGTCTTAGGAAGTTCTGGATGCACTTTGTGCAAAAGACTCAACAAACTGTTCACTTTCCTTTTTGAGACACCATGAGAAGCCCATTCTGTCAGGGCCATACGTAAGTAGACACCCTCATTAAACTCATCTGACTTACTATCAGTAATATCCTCCATGGAATTCCGTGTATTTTCTATTGACCAATCTGCATTATTATCACCTGAAATATCGTCTTCAGATTGACTGTCATCTTCTATCTGCTCTTGTGTAAATTGTTCTTGTATTTGCATATTGACATCCGCATCTGATTCTTCCAAGTCTAGAACTTCTTCTTCGTATACACTTGAATGATGAGACGCATCATATGATTTACTTGATTCTTCATATTCATGCAATTGTAATCTTAATCTACGTCTACGTTCCATTTCAGCTAATCTTCTTAGAATCCGTTCATGACGATTCTACATATGAAAGAATCAAATTGCATCATCAAGAATCAAGATGTCCTATTCACTTAGGCTGATAGCAGAGAACGAAGTGTAAGCACTTAACCGTGGACATATATTAAGGCAGAGAAAAACGTATACGTAATACATAAGTCGTGAAAGGCTATTATATGTGAATGCGATACGCGTATTACGTATACGGCTGATGACAGAGAACAAGAAGTAAGCGCTTCTGTCTATCTAGTAATCATAATCGTGGACGTATGGTAAGGCACAGAAAAACGTATACGTAAAACATAACCGCATTCACATGGGAAGAACGCCGGTTAACCAAACTTAACCTCAATTTATCAAGGCCGCCAAATAATTATTTTACGCTAAAAAAAAAGAAAATATTATACAAACAATTCATACTTACTTGTCTTTTATCCATGTTGATCCGATGTAAATCGATTGAAAGTTATATTTTTTATATCGGCTATCAATTTGCGCACACACGATCACGTTTTACTGCAAAGAACTATCGACAATCGACATAGGCCATAGACTGCGTCATGCGTTCCATAAAGCGCATATACGCATTCGTTACGTATGCGCTTTACGGAACGAGCAATAGTCGAATATGGACCGCGCACGTATATTTAAATATAAAATCAATTACGCTGCAATATTTTCAATAATGCTAAAAAAATCAAAATATATAGAAATTGTATACACACTATAAAACAACTAGAAATCACTTTTAAAAAAATAATTGATATGAGTAAGTCAAATATATTGTCTTATCATATAAAAAATATACATAGTCATTTTGATGTCAATATGACATTGATTGAATTTTTTTCATTTAACACTACAATTATTATCTAAACATCTATTTTCATCTTTTATTTTATATAATGTTTCATTGCGTACGTTAATCATATAGTGTCAATTTTTCGTCATATTAAACTATTTCCTTGACGCAATGACGCCAAACGATGGTTTTGATGTCATATTGATATCATTTTGACTAGGCTGTTTTCACTGGGATGTATTTCCTACTTCTTCCATTTCTTTTATTTGGTTTTGTTCTTTTTTTGCTCTTTGCATCTCTTCTATTTCCATAGCTGCCTCAGATTTTTCTTCTAAATTTATCAAATCATTAAATCGAATTGGCACAGCATCGCGTTTTAATGTTTTCTTGCCTTCTCCCTTAAATGAGTTAGCATTAAATGATCTGCACACAGACCAGCACGACGAAATAAATTGACAGTCCATTTTTCTAATTTAATATTCCCTAAAATAAAAGTAATGAAAAACGATTGACAAATAGTAAATATTTTGAAAGTACTTTCAAAACATAATTATTTTATTTTCA